TTCTGTATAGCTGAGCTCAGAGCAGTTAGTCACCTTTGATTCAATTTTTCTGCTGGTGCGAATGTAACTCCCAGCTGGAGGTCACAGATCAGGCCTATTGTTATTTCAGATTTGTTTATAGTAAGTTTTAAAAATGAGGATTTGGGTTTCATACTGTGCTTAGTACTCTCTAAAATGCAGTCATATGTTCTCTATGGCCTATAATGCTACCACATGATTTACTTTTGTCCTAATTACATAATTGCTTTAGTAACAGGAACAGATCCTCTTGAGTTTCCTACATCTTCTCCTAATTACCTGGTTGCAGGCAAGACTCCAATAGCTGAGTAATACCCATCTGAGGTTTTTCTCGTTACTGTCTCTACACCACATTCTACAGAATTCAGTGAAGTTCACTGGAATTTGTACTGATATAAATGAGGCCAGAATTTGGACCAGTTTAATTTTTAAAACTGTTTATTTTGTATGAAAAAATGGCCCATACTACAAGTTGTCTTTAAAAGCTTAGAATGCCACTGAAACAACAACGACAAAAAAGGTTTGCATGTGCACAAAATTTTTATCATCATCAAGACAACCATTAATTTTTAGCAGCTTTATTCTCCTCGTTACTCCCTCCCTCTTCAGTTAAAACCTATTATTGAAAGACCTTAACAAAGATCTAAAAATGACCATTTCTCTTGGAACACATGCCTTTGTTAATGTATCAGAAACCTGTAGTGCTAATAAAGTGAGCCTAAATAGTCTTTTTGTTATATTAATATGGTCCTTTTACTGTTTTCTTATAGTTTTTTTGAGCACCATGGACTTTCCTTTCATGGAGGGGATGTATTTATACAGGATGAAAGTACTCACCTTTTGGATGCCTTAAAAAGCCTCTGACCTCATTAAAGTTGTCTTAGCTCATGCTGGATCAAAACTGAAAAAAATAAAATAAATTAAATAAATACCCACGGTGGGTATGAGAAAAGGCCTAACCATTAATCTCTGCACATGTAGGTTAACGTAAAAGCATATTGACTGGTTAAAAGATTTGCTTACTATTCAAAGTCTGCTATAGAAGTATATAAGGCTAGTTGTACATTGTTATTACAGTAAGAAAGTTCACTGGATAAGAAATGTTCTCCACTGAAGCAAATGAGAGGTTGACTGTGGGAAAAACTGGGTTGTATGGAATGGAGCTGACAGTTAAGCTTTATTTCAGACAGACATTTTTGAGCCCCCAGTTGGCAGTGATTCATGCTGCAGAACAATGACCTTATTTGTAACATCAGTATTTTGGGAAGGCTAGGCTGAGAGATAGTAAATTGTCTTCTTTCCCATTACAAAAATAAAACTGTATGCCTTCCATCAGTTCAGCAATTATAAATTTAATGATTAACAGTTAAGCACAACTTCTTAAACAGGCACACCATGCAGTCGTCTTCTGATATTATTTATCCCAAAAAAGCAAGGTGAAAAAAATACCATCACTAACACCTTGCACTGGTCTGACACCACTTGGATCTCAAACAAAGGAAGTTCTTTACAGCTTTGTCAATCATTTGTTGCAAGTGTGCCAAAAAATCTGAAAAGAATCAAAAGCTTTGCATGTATTTTATGGCTTCTTACCATGTACTTTTTCATGTTATTGTACTTGGCTAGGTGGGCTTCATCTGTGCTAGCACATTCTAGCTTCTCAGTTTACTGCACAGCAGATTTATTGAGTTTAGCAGAAGATGAGATCCAGCCATTTAAACAGATAACAGTCTAACTGTAAGGAAGTGCAGGGTTTTAGCGAGTGACTTCCAGTTCCTCCCAGTTTCCAGCCTCCCTCTCCTACCTCTTGCTCTGGCACTGCTCCTCTCTTTCAGCTCTGCCTTAACCTAAATCCATTCCGGGTGCTGCTAGTGGCTATTCAGCTTGATACCATAAACTGGGCTTCATTTCTGGGTACCAATATAAGTAATGGCTCAGATATAATTGTCCCCCCGCTCCACTTGGCACCTTCCTCAGAAGGTCGTCTACTTTGGTACCTTTCTCATCCATCCTGATAAACAGCATTGGGTTCACCACCTTATAGCTCCCACTCTTGATATCAATTACAGAAACCTGTCATTACTCACTAACAGTCAGAACATTTTTTTTTTACTTCACAAATCAAGGAAACTATACTTTCTCCAATTCTTTTAAGCCTAAAGTCAGATTAGTAATAATTTGCAAAGTCTCAAAAGGAGTGGAAACATACTGAATTATATTAGGGAAAGGCTAAGGTCTTGAAATCCTATAATCTAGGAAATGTTTATGCATCAGAGAGAAACATTTTTAGTAATGTGTAGTATAATAATAAAAATGAATAACCTTTTTTAATGGATTGACAAAATATTTGAGTTAGAAAACCTCTCATTTTCACCTTATCGACAGTGAGAGTCAGGAGTATCTCAACTGAAATTAACCTGTCTCTCCTTCTGAAAGCCTTCCAATTTTAGTGTGCTGTGAAATTACGTGGTTAATTTATGACTCAGAAGAGTAGAAGCATGGAAGTACAAGGGTAAGCGCAGAATCCAGAAGTGTAAACTAGTTTATGGGGCAGAATGGTCACTGCCAGTACACAACTTGAATAACTGCAGTGGGGAATCTACAGAAATCCTATCCCAGTGAATTAATTTTTAAGGAAGTGCTCACTTTCTCTTCATACTGACTTGTATGAAGGTCTCTTTAAATTCTGTTGTTTTCTTTGAGCTCTGAAAAACAGATCCAAGTTACCAGAGAAGACTCCTATGTTGAGTACGTAAGAGTAAGTCCAAAGCAACCACCCAATTTCATTTCCCCCCCCAAATGTCAGAGTTAGAGCCTGCATTAGAAACTGGAATCAGTACTAAGCAAAGGTCTGAATTCCACTTCCATTTTTATAAGGAGTTCTGTTTGCAGGGCAGATTGGTTTCCTGGGAGGCTCTCGCCAGCATGCAGAGTTGAACTCCACAAAGACTGGCGGTAACAAAAGCCTCATGCTTAAACAGCTGTGGTGTTCTCTCACATTCATTTTACATTTTTTTTAAATCTAAACCAACATCCTGTATCGAGAAATCATGTTTATTGGCTAACTATCCTCTATGTAGAAAGTTAGAAAAGTACCAGTAGCTTGGACTTTAACTGACTGTCCGTAAAGGGACTGTTTTCTATTTTGTAAGAAATCATATTTTAATCTCCCAGTTCATGGAATTATGTCCAGAAACTTGAAATCAGATTTTACCACTGATTATTTCTATACTAAAAAAGCATCATCTGAAATTTAACATGACTTAGACAGAATTTTATAAGAATAAAACTAGATGTGTAGTCTGGCTTGGTTTATTGTTACACGGATGCCATCTTCTTCCACTTAAATGCAAAAGGAGACAAGCCAACAAAGGAAGTAAATGGAGCTGGTCTGTTGATGTCTTTATTTCATAAATCATAGTAGTTTTTTTCTAGTTCAGGTAAACCTTCCTTGTTACTATCTCTGCACTGATTTACTTATGTGGGCAGCCTTAATTTATGAAGCTTCTTGGCTGGTGATCTTAATACATAGTCCATTTGAAAGCTAGAACTCAAGCCACGTGCCAAGAGCAGAAAGAACTACTTAACGGAAAGCCTTTAACGTTGATCAGGCCATATGGGTTTGCTTCTTAGGTCCATCGCAGATGTCCTGCAGGACCTGTGAATGACTTTTTACCCTTTGCTTAGCTTCTTTACCTGTAAACCAGGATTCTTCCCTACCTTCTGAGTTGCTCTATAGGGAAAATAATTAAAAATGGCAAGATACCAGCATATCTTGGCAAGAAGAACGGTCTAACTACCAGCTGAAGCATAATGTATCTCTTCTCAGTGTTGGTTTAATGGGGTCTCAATAAAAGCCTACCTTTAAAAACGTACTAAGTTTGAATAACAAACTTGAGTCTGGCAGGAACACAACCTCTGTATGCTATTTTTCAGTCAGATTCAGAGAGATACAAAATGCAAAAAGATCACTGTAGCCAAACTCTAGATCCGGTAAGGCGGCTATGTTTTGGAAATTCTGTCAGAGCTAGCAAGAAGGGTATTTTCTATGCTTACAAGCAGATGAACTTTAGAGAGAGCTGTTGCGTGGTCTGGCTTACGACTGCAGAAGCGTTGTCGTGGTTTAACCTCAGTTGGTAACTGAGCCCCACACAGCCACTCGCTCACTCCCCCCCCAGTGGGATGGGGGAGAGAATCAGAAGAGTAAAAGTGAGAAAACTCATGGGTTGAGATAAAGGCAGTTTAATAATTGAAATAAAGTAAAATAGTAATAATAACAATAAAAGAATATACAAACCAAGGGATGCACGATGCAATTGCTCACCACCCATCTACCGATGCCCAGCCAGTCCCCGAGCAGCGGCCCCCCCTGGCCAGCTTTCGCCCAGTTTATGTACTGAGCATGACGGCACATGGTGTGGGATATCCCTTGGGCCAGCTGGGGTCAGCTGTCCTGGCTGTGCCCCCTCCCAGCTTCTTGTGCCCCTCCAGCCTTCTCAGTCGGTAGAGCGTGGGAAGCTGAAAAGTCCTTGACTAGTGTAAGCACTGCTCAGCAACAACTAAAACATCGGTGTGTTATCAACATTGTTCTCATCCTAAATCCAAAACACAGCACTGTACCAGCTACTAGGAAGGAAATTAACTCTATCCTTGCCGAAACCAGGACAAGCGTAAACTGTTGTTGTCTTTCTGGGAGATGATTGTTCCAGTTTATAGAATCAATTTTGGATCAAATCAACCCCTCTTCATAAGAGCATCCAGGACTCATGCCACTTTTTTTTTTGATATTTCAGGTTCATTGTCAGCTTTTTGTAATATGAATACACTAGGAAAAAACAGGCTTAAATATCTTCTGTTATCCAAAGGTCAACCAAATGAATACCTGTAATGGTCATTTATTATCTTCTATAAATATGTCTAGAAGTAGAATCCAATGACAGACTCCTAAAAATTACCTAATTACTCCATTTTGAATACCCTAGGTTGTTGGTGTGGCTCAAGCAATCAATAAGAAATCTGGAATTGGTGGCACTTTCACTGAACAAGATGAAAAGGTATAAAAGCTGGACATTTATGTCTCTTCTATTTTCATGGGGGAACGGGAGATGGATATGTTATTACTTTTCATGCTGATCAGAAATTTTAAAGTTATTAAAAATTAAACAGCTCTGAAAAAGTAAAAATTCCTGGTAATACTGCAAATTTCTTTCTTTATGAAGCCATGAGAAATGTGGATGTAAAATAGTTTAATTTCTGGATCAGCATGCTATCATCTCATACATCTCTGAAACACAGGCTTACTCTACTGAAATGCATTGTAAAACAGTTTCATAACTTTTGATAGATATCATTTTTTATTAATTGGTTCTAACTCTCCTGGCATCCCCAACAAACATATTTTGAATATTAAAGTTTGTGTAGTGATTCTTTTTAAAATACTGTATCACTTCTCAATATAGCAATAACTGGAAAAAAAACCCCAAACCTGAATGGTTGCCAAAAATAACTTAAAAATATCAATCAATTTCAAAGTGAAAACAAAAAATTGCAGTAGCTTATCTTTGAATAGAGGTAAGATGCTGTGAGACATTATCTTCATGAGGTGTTGATGTTCATTTGTCCTCAGGATTTTGCCGCGTATTTGGCATTTTGTGGAATTGTTCTTCACAACGCTCAACTGTATGAGACATCTTTGCTTGAGAACAGGCGTAATCAGGTATGGTCAACAGGTTTGTCCCAAGAATACAGAAATTATGATGGTTAGCTAGTAATCAGTGCCTGCTCCTGATATTTCTCATATGGTAGTTATTCCTTGGCTATTTTTAATTACTCTAATTGAATGCTGTGTATCTCTGATAAAGCTCTAACTAAGTGCACTGAGAAGTAGCTGGGCACGTTCCAGCCTGGGCTGCGAGAAGCAGACCGTCTAGGGGAAGAAGGTAAAGCTACATGTCAGGAAATTCATTCCATGTCAATATACTCGTTATTGCCTCAAGTTACCATGTGGCTCACTGTATATATTATACAACCACAGGTGTACATACTCCAGAAATTTCAGATAGAATTATCCCTACAGAACGGTAGAGGTATACAGATTTCTCTTTTAGTCTACTACAACTATAAATAGTCACTAACCATGTTTTCAGTAATGACCAGATGGAAAACTGAATTTCCTTCTGATTAATGTAACTGTGTTTTGCAGCCATCTTTATAACTGATGGGTTATTAATGCCATGGCCTTTATGGGTGAATATGTCTGCCATATACGGTATGAAAAGATTTTGGAGAAACAACTAGGCAGCAGTTGTTTTAAAAATTTTCTGGTAGGTCTGAGTTTCCAAGTGACTATCAGTGTGTGTAAACTGGTACAAATTTGGATAATCTTTTCAAATTGGCTCCATGCTTCTTGTGAGGAAAAAAGGAATATAATACGAGCACATCTGAGCAGCTAAGTCCTTCAGCAGCAGCTTTGAAATACAGCAGACTATCTAAATTATGTTTTCACCAAATGAGTTCAGTAGGATCTGTTAGAATTACAACAGATAATAATTGTGTTCAAAAGTCTTAAGAAATGTAAATATCACTGGTTTTAGAATGCACACAGGAGCCATAGGAAACTATTAGGTTTCCTAAGGACAAATAACTGTATGTTGTCTGGATTTCTCAGGCTTCATTTGATGAACTGTTAATGCCTAAATCTATTCTGTCTCTGACTGAAAACATCAGACAGCTAACTATGCTATTTATTTCTTCCATCAAAAGTGTCAAACTGGCTATTGTTTACTGTTTCCTTGCAGTCTGTGTGAGAGCCAAAACTTAATTTTGGTCACAGACATACATGTTGACTTCCTTGATTCAGGGACGAGGAGAAGAATCAAAGACAGTAGTAATAATAATTATTGCTTAAATCACAATTAGTCAAAATTTCACAAAAGACCTTCTCCCCAGGTGCTTCTTGATCTCGCCAGCCTGATTTTTGAAGAGCAGCAGTCTTTGGAAGTAATTCTGAAGAAGATAGCTGCCACTATAATATCCTTCATGCAAGTGCAGAGATGTACCATCTTCATAGTGGATGAAGATTGTACTGTGAGTATGTTTTTTTCTAAAGGCAGAAGCGTTTATTCTGTGGGAGCAGTGTGGGCTTCCCTTCATTCTGACTCAATAGTATTTCAAACCCATAGTATGTTCTGTCACCTTCTTGTCCTCTGCCTTTTCTTTTACGGCATCTACTCAGGTTAGGTGTTGACTTGGGAGGCTTTGGTCTTTGTGTAGGCTAGACTGCGATTTTATGCAGCCATTTTGCATTACCTGTTGGTAAACTATGGCTCTGAGCTCTCTCCTATGGCATAGATCTTGCATGTTGAACTCTTTCATAAACTCATTTTCTTGGCTACTGATGTAGCATGGAAAAAAGGAAAAGGCTGGGAGAAAAACAATGTGGCCTTTGCTTCCTCTGCAGAATCAGTTTTGATGACACTTTCTATTTCTTGAGTATATCTAAGCAGGGAGTATCTAAACAAGGTATCTAAACAGAATCATGGCCTGTCCCAAGATCCTGGCTCACTGAAGCAAAGCACAACTCCTTGCCAATCTGCCCACCTGTATTTCCTTCCTGTTGAAAACAGGCTGCAGAACAAGGAGCAGGACACGCATGCCTCAGTCTTGTACTGGCATTGCTAGTTTTACCTTTACTACTCGTTATAGATACGGGGGTACCAAGATCTGGAAGTGAGGAAGCATTTCCAGGTTCTGTAGCACAGAAATAACACACAGCACTTGTGGTCATCTGCCAGAATCCCATCTCTCACTGTATTTAGAAGAGTCACTCGTGCACACAAGAATACAGAAGAGGAATTTACATAATTTTTGTATTCACATATTCACACTGTCCTTGCAAGTTAGATGAACTCCAGCACCTAGTTTGCAGTCTGTAGTTTGAATCTTTAGTACAGAGAGAACCTAATTTCTCTCTGCGTTTAGGCTTCTCAGCTGTTAAAAAAAGCTGCATGAAAAGCAACACAGAGATCAGTCAGTATGTTCAAAAGGTTTTGATGTCCTCACCTGTCCAATCAAAGCAGGTCTAGAATTGGATGAATGTTAAAATAAAGTAGTTCTATGCTAACGGATAAATTTGGCACAGCTTGTAAATACTGGCATTTCTTCTCAGAGTGATCAGTAATGATTCAAGACACTTCAATGATATTTCAAGTTGTATGAAAAGATATTTTTGTGGTAGGATCCTGTACGCTTGCTGCTAGAATTGAAATGAAGTTAAATAATATTACACTTGTCTTTATTACAGAATAGGTTTTGATAACTGCAACAAGCTTTTCATGACTACTACTATTCTAACTTACGACAACCCTATAGACCTATTAAAATATCCTCTTGGTATTCCAGGATTCATTTTCTAGTGTGTTTCACATGGAATCTGAGGAATTAGAAGACTCAGCTGAAAATCTGAAGAGGTAAAACAATGAATTCAAACTTTTGCTCATCCCAGGAGAACGTGGAAGAAACTATTTCCACTGGGTACCATGTATTACTGCTATTTTTATAGAGCAGGTTTTGCCCTGAAATGTACATAGACAAACTCTATTGCCTTAAAAGGTCACACTGAGGAGAGTAGGGCCTGATCTCTTCACTTTGTCAGGTCTAAGTACATAGTTGTATCACAAGGCTAAGCTATGGAAGGGTACAAAATGTGAGAAGTAAAAATCTAAATTGGTGGGCTGCTCTAAAACTGATCTGTAAGAAATCTGCGTAGATGACTGTGTCATAGAGTAGACATATCCACATTAGTAGATACTAATCCTATTTATGATTTTAATTAATTATTTTAATCTTTATTCTTTTCATATTTCATAGATAGGGAAGCTGACTCAAAGAACATGACTGACTAAATCAAGAATAAGGTCCTAAAGTTCTAACTTTCAGTCATCTTTGAGAAACCATGAAGAAGTTCAACTCGGAGGAAGGGAAAGATGTAAAAATAGTTGGATTAAAATACCCAGATTAAATAGTTTCCAAATTTAGTCTGAACCTCTGTATTGAAGTTTGAAAATTACTGTCTCCATTACCTTTCTCTGTCATCAGAAACAGTTGTTTCAAATAATGTCAAAAGAGTGAGACACAGTTGTATATAAAACGCACTACTACAGATACAGTGTGCAGAGAGAAAATGGAGATTTCTGTACCCCTTTAATCTTTTCTGCAGTGAACATTTATTATATTAAATTTAATTCCATATATTAGAAAAATGATTTTAGACAATGTACAACCAGAAAGTACAGAGGTACCACAGGCTAGTAAGATCACAGGGTGAAAGAGAAAGTTCCTGTTTACTTCCTCTTCTACACTGTAAGAATGGTAAAGAGAATTTACCCTTCCTATTCATTATCCCTTTCATGGTTACTAGTTAATTCACTCAAAACGTAATTTACTGCTTGCATGGGCCATCAGTAAATTATTTCTCATAACTGATAGGGAAGGGATCTCAGAGGCTTAATTGCATATCTGAATCTTGTTCATGAGACGGCACAATTAAATGCCAAGGACTGTACTATGAGTCAACCATTGGAGTTAGAACTTCTGCTGTGCTTGAAGGGCGCGACTTTGGGCAATAGCAGAAATACAATGACATGGATTAGATGGGAAGTATTACTTGACATAATAAAATTTCAGGCTTATTGTGTAATCAAGGACCCTGAATCAAACCCCAAATCAGACTGGTTTTCAGAATTGTGGGGCATTGCCTTGTATAACCAAGTTTGTGAAATAACAAAAGAATAATTCCCTGCCTCCAGCACCGCGAACATCCTTACACCAGAAGGATAACTGAAGTCAAGTCAAATGTCGGAGGGAAACTACAGGAGCTTGATGAGAATAGGTTTATTATTAGGACATATGTCCTCCGCCAAAGCAGGCAAAGGGTCCAAGAGAATTGAAATGCCTTAATTAAATACATCGTGGCTAAAAAAGTAGGAGATGATTGATTTCTGTAAAGATATTTTATGTCCTGATTTGGAATAAACAGTTCTATTTCAGTAACAGAATCCCCATGCAACTGATTGTCCCTTTACTTTTAAAACAAATTTGAAATTAACTTAGAAGCAGAAAATTCACAGATGTTACCTGCTGCACTCCGTTTAAAGAAGATGTGAATTTCACCCAGTATTGATTTTTTCAAGTGTGTCAGATTTGTGAATGGAGTTTGTTTTCAAAAAGTTCTGTTTAATATAAACGCAGTTGTTCATTCTTTATCCTTCACCTGCATAAACTGTACTGATTTGTTTATTTCTTAAGTTCGGTGTTCAGTGTTAACGTTGTTGAATATTAAAGAAATGGTGGAACGTATAAATCAATCCAGTCTGCCGTTTTGTGATGATAGCTGGATTAGGATACAGGATTTGAACTCAACTCTGTTGTATATCTATTGGTTGTAGCCTTTCCTCATACAGGAAAGATATTACAGTTACCTGCTTTGCATAATGAAATGACCCATTTTCATACTAAGCACATAATAATAATGTTATATCCTTCAGGGACTATGATACAAACAAAATCAATTATATGTATGCTCAGTATGTCAAGAATACGATGGAGCCTCTCAACATCCCAGATGTCTGCAAAGACAGAAGATTTCCCTGGACAGTAAGTAAAATAAGCTTAGATTTGAAATTCAGAAATGGAAAATGTTTTTCTGTTTACCTGTCAAACCTTTTTTGGTTTCCCCTTATTATTTCTATTAATTTAGTGGCCACAGTTAGAATTACGCAAATGCAAAGGAAGGTGCATTTGCTTGGTAAAATTCATTATCAGTGAAGAAATGGTACAATACTCACACAGCGAGCCGGGTGGCCAGGGGAGGGATTTAGCCCTACAGCCATTATTAAAAAAGCCTAATATTAATTTGTCGATAAATAGACAGAGCTTGCAATATGTTCTGTGGAAAACATTTCAGTGAAGAACCGTTGGAGGTTTTCATAGTAATCCTCGGTAGTTCACTGTGAGGGTTGGGAGGCTCTCAGAAGTTCCTTCCCTTTTATCCTCTCCTTTCCCTTCTTGTTCTGGCAAAGATTAATGCTACAGATGCAAGTTCTTTGCTGTTTTGGAGAAGGAACAACTTCACTTTTCTTTGGGAGCTTTTGCTTCATGCTTCCTCAAGTGTGAGCTTGTGGTATGGTGTACTACTGAAAACACAGATACTGGAGAGTTAGGAGGGAAGGTCACTTGGCAAGACTCAGATTGCAGTCAGGTTACCTTCAAAGTCGTCATCAACAAAAAGCAAACTTGTAATTCTGTATTTTCCTGTCAATACAGAAATTAGAAAGATGTCTGCTTTTCTTATTATATTTAAGCCTGTCAGCTAGAGGGGCTCAGGGAGAGGGTAATAAGAGGGAGAGGAGTTATTATGATCAGCAGATAGCTTTTTACCAAACTCTTTGTTCTGAGATGCACAACGAAAAGGTCAGAAAATACAGTGTTCACTGTGATTGTTCCAGTAAGTGGAAAGAAGGGGCAGGCTCATGGTGGGGAGCTGTGTCGCTTCCCTTTTTCTCCGTGCAAGGTTTCATGGATGTTCTGGAGTGGGTTTCTATGAAGGACTGAGCAACACAGGAACTGAGCGCTTACCACTTTGCAGTACAGGGCCCAAAGCTATCTTAACTGCAGGAGTGGAAGTAAAAACAGAATTGGATGGAAATACTGTATTAGATCAATAAAGAAAGAGGTGATTATTTTGAAGACATTTTAAAATAAAATTAATACCTTGAGAGTCATCCAAACAATTGTTTGTCTGAAACAGGCCTTTCACTCTGTCAGCAGGGTTAGAGTTCTTTTGCATTTTTGCCTGGAATCTAGATGACTTACACCTTATGCATGTAAAAGAAGCTCATAAAAAGAAAATAATAGTACTGCTAGAAGGAATTTTGGATAATGTTTTTCAACGCACAGTGGCTGCATCTCCACCACTGTGTAGGAGCAGTCTCGAGGCAGGGCTGTAGGCTAAGTGTTTTGAAATCTGACAAACCCTGACATGAGGGAAATCCCAGGTGTACCTAGTGCCCTAGAAACCCTGGCTTGCCTCTTTCTTTGGAGGACATTCAACAGCATGCTTACTCACCTTATGAAAATAACTTTGTGCTTTCTAAATGCTTTGGTGGCCTCAGCTACCTAGGTAGTGACATGAGGCAGAACAACAGCTTGAGTCTATTTGTGGAAAAGCTGTGATGTTGTCTGCCTCAGGTTCGGGCCACTTACAAGGACAGTACAGAAGCCAAATGCTAAGCTTCAGCAGTCATGTGTACGTGTTCTTCCCTGAACCAACAAAGTTAGTGCAGTGGGGACAAAGTTCAAGTATCTACAAGACTCCTTAAAGGAATTTAAGCCTGTTTTTGCTTAATCTCCTTCCTGTTCATACAGGAGCACTGTCATCTTATCTCCAATCCAGCCCAGTTTGACTTTCAATGCATCTGAACTTTACCATGAAACAGCAGGTTCTTCTCAGGGTAGCCATAAACCAATTTTCATGCACGCTTGACTTTGTGTTTCTCAGCTGCCCTTGCTGGAGAGGTCTAGGGAGAGATGCTGATTCTTATATCCTTTTTTACAGCTGATTTCACAGGTATGTCACAGTTCAGAAAACAGCAAATCCTACTCTTGAGTTATTCCATATACCCTCTTGATAATGGGCTACTATTAAGTAGTAGTACTTAAGTTCCTGGAGTCATGTAAAGTATCTGGCATGATGAAATCCTTTAATGCTTAATAGAATAAAATAATAGAATCACATTTCCTATTGCCACTTGTAAGCATTATAGTGTTTGTGCATTTGCCTGCAAAGAAACTGTCTGCTGTCCTTGCACAGCACCAGGTCTTCGGAAGACTGCAGAATGTTGACCTAGTTGGTGGTAGTTTTCCTACCTGTTGTTCTTTGGATCATAATTTGGTCTCCACTAAGTCCCCGTTCATTGCGTTGGCGGATTAATCAAGGCATCTCAAACAAACCAAAAGAGTTTACAAAAATTTTAGTGCCACAAAATGCACAGTTAGCTTAATGTCAGGTAGTTACTCTTGTTTTATGACATCTGTTCCTTACATTGCCGTATTGCAAGTGAGGGGATATGCTGGAAAGGGGAGAGGCGAGTTCCTTTTACAGCTCATCACCTGATGAGAGTAAAAAGGTGTCCTAAAACCCATCTGATCTCTTTTCAGCTGCACTGAGTGGAACACTTTGTCTTGGTGCAAAGTTGTCATTTTCATAGAAGTGGTACCTTCTAATGAAAGAACCTATTATAAAATCAGCACATTTTTAGCACAATTACACAAGTCACTGTACACTCCTACTGAATGAAGATTATCATCATTACCTGTATTGTTATTCACCAAAGCTTGTATCAGATACTGTGTTTACTATGTCCAGCCAAAGATGTACAAACTCTTTCAAGACGTGGTTGCTTTTTGAAGGAGTATGTAAGCCAAGAAGAGTTGTAGACCCTAGCTCTACAGCTTTTTCACTTCAGCCACTTAAACGTTAGTCTTTAAAATTGTAACTGTATTTTTTTGTTTGTTTAACAGAATGACAATGCAGAAAATGTAAGTCAACACATAAAGAGTTTGCTGTGTACACCAATAAAAAATGGGAAAAAGAATAAAGTGATAGGTAGGTATCTTTACAAAAAATATTTTTATACATTTCATAGAAATATTTCTGTGCTCCACAGTAAAATCTCAGCAACGTGGAATCTCAGCCCAGGAGAAAAGATCCTTAATTATCATGTTTTCAACTAATAAGTCCACTGCAAGCTTGACTGTAAATAGCTTACCTAGTAAGTTACCAAGTATTTACAACACTCTTGTGATACTTCACCATTTTCATAGCTTCTTTGCCTTCGAAAATTTTCTGTGAGCAAAATTAGTTTCATTGCTTCCTGTTTAGAGAGTCAGTTACCACTCTTGCTTGTGTAGATCTTTTATAAGGTAGTGGAAGGAAGAGAAGACGTAAATCGGTAAATAAGCTCTTTAGGCCTGAGCTGTCTGTAGTGCTGGGCTTTTAGAGAACAGTGGTGGCACGTGGAAAGGCAAGCTAAACTGCACAGACATTGACAGTTTCCTCAAATGAGACTGAGCTATGGAAAGATTCATACATTAGAAGGCTAGCTGCTGTGCAATTTTGGTGCTACAAATTGCCCTTTGGAGGTGCCTGCTTCTATCTGTGGACTACATAGGGAGCCTACAGTGCTATCGTAAGACACTGTGTCTAAAGCTACCCAGTGTAAATATCTCTGCAGCCTCTCGTTGCTTTTTCTAGAACTACTTTTCTTCTATTTTAAAGAGTGGCCATAGTACCACTGGTTTCCTGGGGTAACATTTTCAGAAGAAATTTGACATTGGTTGGGTCCACATAGGCCTAGATGCTTATGGAAACTTAGAAGCCTTCTTATCTCTGGTTCCCTAAAAATATCTAGGTGGCCATGGTCTCGGTCCTCAAAGATGAGTATACGCCTAAATAGTTTTGAGGATCTGGTCAGGGAATAAGCTTGATGAGCTTTAAGTCTTTCAGTGAGTTTCAGATTCACCTTAAACAAAGGGATGATGATGCTTTTGGATATTACCAGGACTTCCCTGTCCCATGAAGAGTAGAATGAGTGTCAGCCTGCTTTCCTGGCAACAGTAAGTTCCACAAGCAAACAGAACATAAAATATACTGATTCCTAGATAGCCGCACGAATCCAACTTCCTCAGCTTTACAAAATTTGGCACGTAAATGTTAAGAGTTCCAAGAATGCATGGTTTTAATGGTCTTCAAATAATTTTCCTTGAGAATTATGGCAAAACTGCATAACCCAATGTATATAGTAAATATGAGGTCCCTTTTCCATGAAGACAGATCTTTTTTTTTCTTTTTTTTAACTCCTGAAGCAGAAAGAGAAGCATCATCTTTACCTAATGGAGTTCTCTGAAATTTCTTTTGATATCAGCTTCTTTAATGAGTTCTTTTATTACTTTGTTTTAAATATTCTACCAGACCCTAGAACACCAAGATGAAGATTGAACTGTTGAGCTTTAATTAGAGATATTTCACTATGCTGTTAGCTACTGATAAAACAGTTGCATCTGATCTCATATAGGTTTTTTTCTATTGTTATTGTCTGTGGAAGTTCAAACTGAAAGTTTCAGTCAGGCCACCCATTTAGGTGGGTTTTTCAAATCTGAGTAATTCTCACTGGGAAATGTTCTTCGAAGTCTTTTAAGGTTTCACAGCCTGCCTGATGTTCAGATCTTTAATAGGGCAAGGTCAAGAAGTTGTGTTTGGGACAATACCCAAAAGTTCCTTTAGCATGCTATATACTATGTAAGACTATTATTACGTTTACTTTTTTATTTTTAAGATTAGTATACCCAAAACCAGAATTTGGGAAGTGGGGTGTGCAGATGGGCATGGGGTGGGAAAAACTGTCCACAGCAAAACCAAGCAAATCTTACTGGCAAGAAAGATGAGAACTTTTTTATTCTCCTGACTTTTGCATTTTTCAGGTATGTGGTGAAAGCTTTACAGAATCTTTCTGTGGTTTTATAACTACGTCCCAATAAAAGACTTCTGAGTTCCTTTAATTGTAATGTGTGGACCCCTCAATGCTTTGGGGAAGCTTTTGAAAAAGATTATGGTTAAAGAGTCTTAAGTACTGCATAGTATATTTACTGCAGTTCTTTCATTTTTTTAAGAGACATTTACACGCATCCAAATGCTGCGTCTTTTAAGAATTCATTTGCTTTTCTGGCTTATTCACTGTTGAGTCTTAATCTTGTGTTTGTTACATCACAGTTGCTATGGACATAATTATAATGTCATAAACAGTACTAAACAGAGATCTGAAAGTGAGTTTCATGGGATTTTCCTATAGAGTTTTGTAAGTCAGCTTCTTTTTCCCAGGGAAAGTTAATCTTGTTCTTAGTGAATCCTTATTTGCTGGGATTATATATTTTTACTATCATTCAAGTATGTAGTCATCTCATTCCATTAAGGTTCAGAATCCTGTTTGCCACAACAGTTTACAGCTACAGTTATAATATTCTTACTGATCTCTTTAGAGGAGACTGATACTAAAATAAGTTCCCCAAACAGAATGTAATTTGGAAACACGACAGTGTTACATTGTCACCAGACATTAAAACTTCTACAGGCCAGGCCAGTGTTCTTCTAAAAACACAGTTTGCATGTGTGTGCTACATTCTTTTCCTTAGTTTTTCTACCTGCTGTAACAGGGAAGATGCACACTGGCTCCTTCAAAGACTTTTTTTCCTTTTAATTATAAAGCTCAGTGAGCTTTTTAGTCTGTAAATATGGAGTACTGAAATGCTGGAAATACTTTCATATAAAAAATTACTGTCACTGACAAGACCTTACAGTAGCTGCTGATTATGTTCACTGTTGGTACTGCTGTAAAATAGTATTCATTATAATTTCTTCCCTACCCATAAGCAGAGAGCAAATCCGTCCTCCCTGACCTGACTATGGTGAAGTGTAAGGCATTCAGATTCTGTTTTTATATCCTGTGTAAATTAGGAGTAGCTCTACTGACGCAAGAAAACCTAAAAATTGTTAAGTGTTCTGGAAGCACCATGCTAAATAGTTACCTTCTCTTTTGCTAGTTAAATACATATTTAGTATTTTACTCTTTCTGCTGCAAAGTGTTGTTCATAAAATACACAAAGTATACAAATGGTACTCAATAGCAATTTATAGAAAATGAAGACTTTTTCATTTAGTAGCTTTTTTCAGAATTTTTAATTTGCAACTATTATTTTCACTGGAATAATTGTTTGCAGTTGGCCAGGAAAATGCTAGCTTTTATGCTCAAAACTGTTAGAACTCACACTCATGAGAGTGGGAAAACATTTGGACTCAAGACAATAATCACCCCCAAAGCAGTTTTGGCCAAAGACAATGTATACTTACAATGCAGCTGCTTTAATTAATATTCTGGTAACTTAGCAGAAACTGCCATCCGCTAGGTAAAACTAAAGTGAGGTGTATGTGTGAATTTCCCTCTGCTTAAAATGGTGTCAGGGATTTAAGCTGCAGCAAGGTTTGGTAGAAGTCACCTGTCAGACCTTTCACTGGCACATGCACAGAAAAGTCCAGAAATTCTTAACAGAAAATAAACAGATCCAACTACCAACAAGATTGAACCTAACACGCTAAATTCAGTAAGATGCTTTTCAATGAGTTCAGCAGTCTTCAGAGCAGGCTGTAATTCAATCACATCCTCATAGAATCAGCGAGTATGCTTAAGCTTTGAGCCTCAACTTGGGTATTCTCCGTTTAATTCACTTATTTTAAAAAACTTCCAGTACTGACTCAAATAAGGAAGTGAAAACTCTGTGTACCACTGTTCTGACTTTCATAAATGTTCTTTTGGCGTGGTTACAAAAACTTAATTAGCCTCTAAAGGACAAATTGTCTTTAGGGATTAAATCAATCTAGAATACTATTAATAATAAAAGTTAGGATGAAAACGACCCTAGAATTTCACAAGACAATCAAGTCTGTAAAGGCCTACATTTTTGTTTTACAAATCCTAATAAATATTTTTGAGTCTACTAAGTAATATATAATGTTTTAGCATTTATTCTATAATACCAGTGAAATTACTCTAAAAAACTTCAGGGAAAATCCTACAGCACTCCTGTGTGTCACTTCTGTTGTGTATATTGGTGGTTTATACTGTAGGCTAAACTGTCCTAAACTTAATTTTTCTCTTGATGTTCCATACAATAGGTGATATGTTGGCAGTTCTCTGTATTACTTCTTTTAATTCCTGTATCCTGGCATAGGGGTTTGCCAGCTTGTGAATAAGATGGAAGAAAACTCGGGCAAAATCAAGGCTTTCAACAGAAATGATGAACAGTTCCTGGAAGCATTTGTCATCTTTTGTGGCTTGGGGATCCAGAATACACAGATGTACGAAGCTGTAGAAAGAGCCATGGCCAAACAGATGGTGACATTAGAGGTGAGCTCAAAATCTAGGTGGTCCTTAATTAGCCCAAAACAGATCCTAATTTTCTCCAGACCCTGTCTGTTCTACACGTAAGTGCAGCTACTCACATGGATACTAAACAGAAATTGTTCTCCCCCAGGAGAACAGCATTTGGCCTGCTGAATTGCACAGAAATTTTTCTGCTTGTTTCTGTATCTGCCAGCAGACTATTTTATTTGGTATTGCATTTTAACTTTACTCATGAGATTTAGTGGTGAGTTGAATGCATCTTTTCCTCTACATGAGGCTGCACGTTGGCAACGTAGCGGGTTTGTTCTGTTGCGTAGGAAGAGGAAATAGTTTGGGGGATTAGGGGCTTCCTTTTCTTGTCTGAGGTTTTCTGTGATGATTTTGGCTCCATCCTTTAGACAAACTGGTTTGTGGAGTAACAGCAGCATTATTGTAGGTTTTCAGCAATTTCCTCAGACTCCATCAAACCATATCAAGATGAACGTCATCTGGTCTCAGCCTTTGAATCCATTACTGTTAAGTTTAATAGCTAAAGAAGGCTTTAGTCTGAGAAGCTGAATTACTCAGAGGTGATAACTTGAAGCTGAAAGTGAGAAATTTGTAGACTTTGGATCTCCTAACGTCCATTATGTAAACGGAGTGTTTGCAGAATTCCTAAAATGGGGATTACGTACCCCATAGCCTCTATAAGAAATGTTACAACTCTCAAATAAACCTGTATTAAGTCATGTTAAATAAAAAGGTGGTAAAATTATTGTAAAAATAATTTCAGTTCTTTAAAAAAAAGAGCTGTTTGTTTATATGGCAAATTAGCAATTCTCTCTCCTGCTATAACACTTTATGGGTAATATAGGAAGTCCAGACAGATTATAGGTTAGTGTATAAGATGGCTTCTTTACAAAAAAAGTCAGTCTCTAGTTGCTTAAAAAACTCCATAACATTTTCATGTCCTGTGTTCTCAACAGCTAAAAAATATGAGCTTATTTTGTTAATTTAAAACAAACATATTGTCTTTCAGACTTTTTTGCCAAGTTTCAGTTAGGGCAAAACTTTCTCTTCTGTCTGAATAAACTCCTGAAAGGATTATTATGGCAACAATGTCAGGCTCATAATTATAGCAGTTTCATGTATTATTTGTCTTTGAAAGTGGGGCATGAAAACTTTCCAAAGAGAAAATCAGAGTTCTTTGCTCTTTTATAGAAACTATTTACGTTTTCCTGGCCTAATTATCTCAAGAAGATTCTGTGCTGTGGGAGATTTGTGAAAGCTGCAGATACCTCCCCATACGCTTTCAGAGAGCTCCCTTAAAACCAGTGCAGGCCCTGCATGGACACTAGATTTCATCAGCAAATGCAATGCAATGCAGTGCAGCTGCAAGCTGAAAATGCTGCTTTAGGAAGAATACCTTTTTATCACATTGCTCTTTTGTTTGTACTAAGGGCTGCTTTTCTGTTTCTGTAGGTTCTCTCATACCATGCTTCTGCTGCTGAGGAGGAAACGAGGGAGCTGCAGGTAACAGCGGTAATTGAATTTTTTACTATTACTTCAGAAGTATTCCATTAATAGAACAACAAAGGGCAGTCTTTTACACAGATGTGATCCCTAAACGTGCAGAAGCACATCTTCCAGAAATAAAAATTACAGTGAAGCTTAAACTGATCGGTTCCTGAGTTGAATCAATACATCACATAAAAGGGAAATGTTACGATGCCTATGATGAGAGATACAGGTTGGCCAGAGAGCTGCAGTTACAGGAGAACCAGAAGTATACTGGTTTCCATGCCTTTCTCATGGGTTTAAGTGACAGAAACAGCTGAGTTAATACTAACTCACAATGATTACGTATTTCAGAAGCAAAATGTTGAGAACTCTTCTCTCTGCAGCTAAGTCTGAATGTTGTATATTTTATATCTTTGGTACCTTTCAAGCATCCCAAGTATAGGTGCAGCTTTATGGCCTTACACAGAAATTCGCTGTTTAATTGTTAATGCAATGATTCTTTTTCATTTTTATGGTTACTTCTCTGTGCAGTGTCCTGTTCAATTCTGTGTTTAGAAACCACTGCCTAAGGAATAGCTACAGCTCTGATTTCAAGTGTAGTTCAAAGCACAACCTGTGCTTAGTCTCTCCAGTTCTCTGTTGGAGCAGACATTCTGGGGAAATAGCATCACCCCTGCTGTACGAAAAAGAAATGGGAGAGATGGAGGAATGGAGAGGAAGGTAGACATAGGGGACCACAGGCTGGGTAGTATGGGACTGGACTGGACAAGCAAGGTGCCACAGAATAAGGCACAAGACTAAGGATAGTTCTAGAATGGTTAGCATCACACAGATTTTGAACCTCAGTCCTAACACGCTGTTGTTACTCATTGATAAAGAGGCACTGACAAGACCAGCATGCAACGCATCTCCTATGGTTTCTCTTCAGGGCTTGCGTTGTAATCTCTGTGGTTACATCTTTACTTCTAAATAAAACAGAACCACAATAAACCTAGCACTGAACCAGTGTCCACCTTAACTGTCCACGTGCTTCCTAGCACAATCTCGGCCCGTGTCAACCACCATGTTCTAAGGCGATACCAGAGCACATGGTACCAGAGCACACAGCCCAGGCCTTCTCCACTAGGCACTGTGGATGAGTGCACCACATTTGGCTTCCTCTAGCCTACAGTCTTGCAGCGATATTTGAGCAGGTTTTGCACCCTCAGATATACTGCATATCCTCACATCACATCCCAGGGCATGAAACAAATACCCTTATTTTCACGCTATGAAGCCATCACTCTGAATTTTAACAGAGTAGTCAGATTAGTTCAGATAATGTGAGCTGAAAAAAGAAAACAGGCACTAAAAATAAGGGTATCTTAGAACTTCAGGGCACCACATGGAGCCCAAAGCAAACCATGGACCAAGTGCTATGTAGTATGGACAAATCAGTTTGTGGCATTTCGCCTCATTGGTAGAGAATGATCCCTGTCCTATTTTATATAGCAGTATAGGTCTAACCACCTCTTTGATAATTTGGTTTCTTCTTTGTGCTTTTGTGTACAAGATACCTAATTCAGTGACCATTCCTAAAATTGCTCCTTTAGGCATTACTCTCTTCTTTAGAAAGTTTAACTTCTTTGTTCGTCACCACATTCCACCACTTTCATTACTCAAAACTTCCCTTATGGCATATAGATTTTCTAATTGTGTGGCCTTTTATGAAAGTAGTTCTCTTCTGCCTTTTTCCAGTTTGTTTTTCGTTGTAAATTGTGATGATTTAATTTCTTCATAGTTGTCACCCCTCCTTCTTCTCAAGAACAGAGAGCAGCTTAGATTTCAATGTGAAATTTGTGGGGTGCGTCGCACAAAAGAAAACATTGATCCTTGATTTTTTTTCTCAATTACTGACTGTGAAGTAATTTGAGATCTTCACATGCCAAGCATTATGAAAGTGCTACTACTATTATGGTAAAAGTTGCTTGAAATACTTCTTGCTTTGTGGAGTCTCTTCATGTTAAAAGATTTTACTACCTACTAGCATGTACGTGGTCTCCAGTCTGCTATTCACCTGATTTAGTATATGATCTATATTTTTGCATCTGGTTCTGCAAGTGCCTTAGTTATGTCTTAGACTACCACTCAGTCCCTGACTTCCAAATAACCCAAGCTTCTGTATGTCTTTACTTCATTGCTAGCTCACCTCATGGATGTCCATGATAGCCAAACAGATGGTCAAAGCCGAGTCAAAACATTACAAATCTAAAGGAAAATTTATAAAATTGAGAAATTAGTTGTTTTATAATGTGTTTAAGAATAAAACCACAGCCGATATTTGGTCTTAAGTCTTGCACGCAGTTCTTACTGACTTCAGGAGAGGCTTATTCTGTACATAGGTTGAGCTTGGCATTCAGTCACATGCATGCGCTTATAAAGAATGTAAAATAGTAACATACAAACTGACACATTCTTTGCTATGGAAAAAATATGTTCTGTAACCTTTCTCAGTTTGAATAACCATCAAGAGAAACACTTTTTAAAATTGTCTTCAACATTTTAAAGACTGTCTACTTCCTTTAATGATTGTTGGGACTCAGGAAACCCTCTTCTGATTATAGTTCTAGATAGGATAAGCTCTCCTGAGCATGCTAGTGCATGATGGTATATATACATCTTTGTAGAAGATCAAAGTGCTTCAAATAAAAATTAATCTTGAAATCTTCCCAAATCCACAAATGAGGACTATCAGTGACAGACCCCATTCCATTCACCTTTTCTTCTCAGGAACCAGTAAGAGGGATGGGATCGGCCAGTTTGTGCTATCTGAACAGGAACAGGAATTTACTCTAGAGTACAAGCACCCTGATAGAAAAGACCTTGCCAAAAGCTACCTATTTTCCAAACCAAGGTATGGAGAACAGGATGTTAATTTTGAATTTGTTCTGCAGTTGACCAGAAGAATGGTAGCCTTATACAGGAAGGCGATTTTAGGTCCCACTATAAGTTGATCTCAAACAGCTTTGTGCTTGAAAAATCAAAATTAATGTAAAAAGAAGAAACCATTAAAATACTTTTTTCTCCAAAATTTAGGAGTATATAAAAATTCCAAACATACTGACTATTTTTATAGTAAGTTGAAAGATAGGAGTATCAACACTGAAAAAAAAATTCTTTTTTTCTCAGTTAATTGTAAATTGCAAATCTCTGAGGCCAAAATCGAACTGTTAAAATTCAGCTGGAGTCCAGTAGCCAGCTTGATGAATGATGGCCACAAAACATAAATCTTCCCTAACTGAGAGACAGGACCTCTATAATGGCAGTTCCCATTGATTTTAGGAGCAATGAAGACCATAAATTCACAAAGGAATGAGGTAAAAGTTATCCTCAAGTATTTCAGCGGGCATTGCAGAACTCAATTTAGTTTTGGAAGCTGCTCTTGACCCTTGAGGATAGAGCACTCCTTAGCCCTTAAAAGTTTACATTCTTCTTCTCTAAAAATTTAAAGAAGCTCTTGTCTTTTCAGTTGTACAGCTCTGTAGTACAAAAAAAAAAAAAAAGTAGTTTTTTCTGTTATTTTGTAACTAAACACAATGTAAAGTTTAGTATAAGTGCTCCCCTAGCTAGGACACATGCTGTCAGAACGTTACTCAGCAGAATCAATGGTATATCAAAATAGATAGAGGACTTGAGCTTTATAGCATAATATTGGAATTGATACTTGTACTTACTATCTTTGAATCATTACAGTTAATATATACTTTATTAGTGAGACATGGCATTGGCAACAGAAATTACTACAGCATGTCGCAAGTGACATTTGTGACACCAGAATTATCAGGAAGTTTCTCTAATTTAAAACTGTAGCTTTCAAATACATTTAATTTGTGTACTCCTGAAAGGTTTAGATTGGAGGAGCAAAACCTTACAGACAGAATTTCAACCTACTGACAATAGCCTTGGTTTTCTTCTTAATTACCCTATGATGAGACGCGATTGCAGACCTTTATCCTAAAAATCCACATGGTACAGTCACATGGTTAATACTCCTGCACTGCAGTCTTTTAGTTGAATCAATTAAAACCTTATTCCTAAAACACGGGAAAGAGACAAATCTTGCCCTTTAAATATCTGTTGTTAGCATGTACCCTTTGAGATACAGCATCATTGCTGCCTTTTTTTCCTTTGTCTCTGTACTCACGAAGTAGAACACAATTAAATGTTGCAACTATCAACCTCTGTCATTTTTTTTCTGAAACTATTTGCTGTTTCTGTGCATCGATAAAGGTAGCAGTACTTGAAAAGAGATAGGGCCAAGTGAGTTTCAAGATCAAGTCATTCATGTTAAAGACATCAGTACTCCTATTCCTAGTCTTAACCTAAGTCCTGGATAGGTAGTGACAAAGGGAGAACTTGCTACCCAAGTTGAGAAAGCTAACTTACTTCCTTAGCTTCTCCTCTTAGCCGTGAGAGAGAGACAGGTGATTCTAGAAAGCAGTTCAGAGCAAGTGATTATTTTAAGTACCGATTCAGGGAAATATGCAAGCGTGGCAGTTCCTTTCTTATGCAAATGATTCTTTCCTTGCAATCTAACTTAAACTGTCGGCAAGGTGCACAGAACTTTTTTTTTCTTTTTTGGTGTGCTGACAAAGACTTATCAAAAACTTCTGTGAAGTACTTCTGCTAGTATTTTCCCCTAATTAAGAATAAATTCTACCACCTTCCTGGGATACCTTTGTGTTGACTATCTTGCCATTAACACATCATAGAAAGACTTCAGTTTTGAAATCGGCATGTGGAGCAGCTAACTAATATAACCACCTTGCCTGAAGTGACAGATGGATGTTACTCATAGTTTATTTCAGGCTTCAGATTGTACAACTTTGATGTAATGTGTGGAGATGTGATTCAGGTGCCTAAATAACAGTGATGTAGCAAGTCACTGTCTATAAACTGGACCCTCCCTGGTGGCTAAAGCTGACACATTGCATATCGCAACTTTCGTTCCACTACTGAGGGTCAGCTGATGAATGGCAATTTACTCAGCTTCAGAATTTTATTAGTATTTATTTTGCACTCATATCATTGTATCAAGCCAGCCAAAATAGATTAAAATGATGTTTCTGGATATACCTTTTTACAATTTGCTTTGTTTTGCTTCTAAATAATCTGATAGCACAGAAAATACATGCTTCATCAAGCAGTTGGACTAAATGATTGTGGTAGGTCCTTTCCAGCTGGAACTATTCTATTCTATTCTATTCTATTTATTATCTGCCTTGTGTAACAGGCTGCAGTAAAATTTTTCACTTTCATCATCATTTCCACATACTACGGAACGTCGTATTGCATCAGTCACCTCCTTTGAGCCTGGATAGTGTCTGGAACCTATGTTTTATCATACAAAGCAAATGAAACAAAGCAAAACTGTTTATAATTGCCACTTAGTTACCACAGTGGTCCCACATTTTCCTTAGCTTTCCTTTTGCTGCCAATGTATTTACAGAAACCATTTTTCTTGCCCTTTCCACCCCTCACTAGTTTCAACTCAAGCTGAGCTTTGGTTTTCCCATCTTCATCCCTGCACACTTTGGTAATGTCTCTATATTCTTCCCAGGTAGCCCATCCCCACTTCCTCCTTCCGTGTACTTCATTAATTCATTTGAGCTCACTCAGGAATTCCCTGTTCATCCATGCTGGCCTTTTACCATGCTCGCTTGACTTCCTGCATGCCAGAAGGGACTATTCTTGTGCTTGAGGCTTTCCCTGAAGGTAACGCCTTGGTGTATGAAATGAAGTTACAAGGTTTATTTGTAGGTTTTTCAATCAAAATAGAGGACAAGTTTTTAAAATTATTTTCTATACTTAACCAGGTAATGAAATGGAGTCACTAATTAATTATTCACTACTAATTGCTATTAATACAATGCCTATAGTAAGCAGTAGTAATTAAAAAGCCACAGTTATGCAAAGAGGGGAATTAATTGGCACATTTTCTTCTTTTTGTGACTATTTCATGCTCCTTAGATATTCCTGAGGTGGAGAAATTGAGCAAGAGGCTGTAGTTTGGTCAGTGCTTACAGAAGCTGACCATAGCTCAGTAACTTGAAATTCAAATAGCTGATGAACTTTCATGCTGTAAAATGGGGGCAGATAGCTCTACTGGCTTCAGTAAGTGAAAGAGGAAATACCTAATCCAGTTAAATAACACTTGAGTAGCTATAGCGTGCAGTTTTTTATGTCTCAGCTGAAATGAAACTTATTGTTGTGTCTGTCAAGGGCAGGAGATCAAGGAAAGGAAAGATAAATTATGAATGAAGTCAGAACGCAGGCATGAGGCGTTCTGTTGAGCTCCTACTGTGTCCTTCCGGCCCCCTTCCTCATGAAATACCAGACTGCAGTTGCAGTTTTTCAAAATTATGTCATTAGAGTTCCTGAATGGTTGCATTATTTTCCATTTACATACAAGCCTGGTGGTTCTTTCACATGCTCATAGGTGAAATACCACATGAAACCAAACCGAGGAACACAAAATCACTGGTACAAGAAGTGTGTAAGAATGTTGGAATTTTTTTCTTGTGTAAATACTATTTTTCATAATCTTTCATGACTTTCTGATTTTGACACACAGGAAGGATAACAGGAAACTTACATGGAACAGAGATGGGTAGACGTAGTTACGGGGAGAGCTGATTTGCATGCTACATGTAATAATACTGTAGATTATAACACATGCTTCCTTTTCAGTGTCTCAGCCTTCTAGGACACAGTTCCCCATGCTGGAGAAATGTTTTCCCCTAGAATTACAAAGAGGAAGATAAACACATAGGTTTATTTCTTTCACCATTTCAGTTTTACCTGATTTTCTTTTAAACCATACTCATACTGAGGTGAAACAACTACAAAGAAGTAGCGCTGAGAACTCCATGTTTTATTTTACTGAAAAAACTGATACTAATTTTTGTTCTATAGTGTAAGACTTACCATTTATTTTGTTAGCAACCTTAACATCTGTATTTTGAAGGGCAACCAATACCTATAGTCTGAATTTTATAACTAGAAAAAGTAGAGTTGTAATACATGGAGATATTACTGATAATAAAAGTTACAGTTTTAAGTATACAGTTGGGGTTTTTTGTCTACTTCATAATTTCAAATTTCACATTGAAGGTTTATGACTGTACTCAAATTACATCAAAAACATTGTCCAAAGGTTTTAAAGACTATTGATCACAGGTGAACCCTAATTTTTGAGGTTTCTCGCCCTGAGGAAGCTCTGCTTGTGGACATGTTCTGACTACCACAGCACTGAATGTGGATTCTGTTAGGAATTCTGTTCTAGTGACATCTCTTTCCTCACCATTTTTAGAAAAATGTCAACAGTTACAGATTTTGATGTCTGCACATCCATAAAAACAAACATACAACTCCACTGCCTTATTTTCTCAGTCTCTCAATTTCATACATACTCTTGGTTACAATTTGCATAGGTGATTTAGATAACAGACTGACCAGGTGATCCTTTCCTTATTCTCTTCATCTACAGAAAAGTGTGTGTTAAATCTAAGCAAATAAGGTAATGTTAAACAAGAAAGGCTAAGGAAAGGTAAATGAGATTAAATCATCAGGTTTCAGTATAATGTGAAGGTAAAATTCAGTATCTCTCTACTTCTCTGTTGAAAAAGCACATATTTATGTTATGCTTTCTCTTTCCTAGTGCTAAGCTGTGTTCTCTTATTCTTCTCTAGGCTGCTGTAGTACCATCTGCACAATCTCTCAACCTAACTGACTTCAACTTCAGTGATTTTGAGCTATCAGATTTTGAAACAACACTGTGCACAATTCGAATGTTCACAGACCTCAACCTGGTGCAAAATTTCCAAATGAAACATGAGGTATGAATGCTGGTCAAATGCTGCTTCACATAAAGAGACAAGTTAATTGTTGGAAAATCAGGAGGATAGTGAAACAAGCCTACAGTAAATATAATTGGAAATCTGTATTAAAGAGTAGTTAGCAAACTAGGAAGGTATGTAAAGTGGGAAGTACTGGGGTTTGTTCTCAGTTTGGTTCTACTGAATGATTAATAATTTGGTTAATGGACTGTGAAATGCTTTTAGAAAACTTGAGGAGTGGAGGTAGAGGACTTGGTTAAAATTCAAATGAGTTTGAAAATGTATAGCAATATTTCAAAACCAGGTATTTATTTTCTAGATCACCAGTTTATAGACCAATTTAGATTAGTGGTGTTTAAGGGCCGAAAGGAGTATGTAGTCTGATCTCTTGAATATCCCAGTACTTAGTTTCACCTTTGTAGTAAGGCCAAGAACTTGTACTTCCTTAAGGGATACGTCCCAACAGAAGAGAGGGAGTCAGGTAGCCCAGTAACGGGCGGGCTTCTAGTTCCTAGTGGAGCAATTGTAATGGATTTGCAAAACCAAAAAACCACCATGACAGTAGACACACAATTACACATCTCAATAGAAGCAAGAGAACATTGACAGCTTTGAAGCTACACTTTCAGCTTTCCATACTAGAGCTAAAGAAAACTGGCAGTAGCCTAGCACTCCTAACAGTGGAAAGACAGAGAATACTGCTGCTTTTGTCTGTGTGGAATCGTTTCTGTGGGTGAATGATACTGGATTTTCATTTCTGTCAGTACAACATCTTTCACTAGGAACACTAAAAATTTTCTTGAACAAACCAAGGCCTAGATTCTCAGCCTGCATTTAACATAGAGCAGTAAGTATGCTGTATCCATTTAAACTGAGGGACCTGTTCTAGTACACATTAAATTACTATCTGACCTTCATACCTTTCACTTTCTTAGAAGTAAAGTATAACCCACAACTTGTAATACTGTTGTGTAAAACGTCCAGGACATACTTTCTTCCTGCATAAAAAAATACTACCCAGCAATATAGTAATCGCTGTCTTTCTATCATACTTACTTGCTTTCCAAAGTCCAATTCTGCTTGTCTTTTGGCAAGCTGATATGAGGGAAAAGCCACATGTTCATTATCAAAACAGCTCTTAAGGGAACTCTGTAATTAAAAAAACAAATTTTCTCTATCAAATATGTCATTACAAACACGGATTTTTTTCTCTCAGTTAGCTCAGCATAAGTCAGCTTCTGAATTAACAGCAGTGCACCTGACACTAACATTTAGCCATTAGTAATAAAAACCCAAACCCACAAGTATTACATACTCAATGAGAGGCTGAACTAGTGGCTGTAAGCATATTCTTACCTATGTTCACAGTTACAAGTATGTTATATTTGAACTTAATTGAGTTAAAAGGAATTTTTTTTCTGTAAGAGAGACAGTTTTCAAGCGGGATTAGAGAAAGATTTGTCTTCATAAAAAGAACAGATTTCTAATACATTTACAGTTAACTATGTGATGCTGTTTCTTAAAGGTTCTCTGCAGATGGATTTTAAGTGTAAAGAAAAATTATCGGAAAAATGTTGCTTATCACAATTGGAGACATGCCTTTAATACAGCGCAGTGCATGTTTGCTGCTTTAAAATCTGGTAAAATTCAGGTACATTTTGCTGTTTCTACATTAAGAATCTTTGGGCTAAACAAATTCTGTAATGATGCATAGTTCTGATTGTCCTGTCAGTAAGATGTTCATCATTCCATGGTATTGCTAGTGAAATCAAAATATTTCTGCTGAAGACTTCTGGCTTTAAGGGCTTAGTTTGTGAAATTGTTGTCATGTTGTTACGTACCCAGTTTCAGTTAAATCCTCTGGAAATGATCAGGTGGATATTCCCAAAGGGAATATCTCAAATAAGGCACATACATGATCATGTCCTTTTTTAAAGTTAATGCTTATGCTACAAGCAAGTCAAAAAGGTGGAGAAGAAAAGCACTGACCCTATTTCAGGATGTTTCCTTATAATGTTCAACAGGAAATTTTTTAAGTTCAAACACAGAGCTGAGTACAGCGTTAGACAAACAATAGAACATTTTTTGGAAATAAAGATTTAAATGCTCAGTTCAATGCTTTTGAACTATGTTTCCACCTTCCACTTAAAAGACACATAATAACTTAAAAAACAACCTCATAATTCTTTATTATAAATACCGAAGGGCTAGATGATCCCCAAAATAAGAAAGATATTGATTCAAAATTTTTCCAAAACATGTTTTTAGGTTTTTATATTCTTGAAGAAAAAAAAATGTTTCTGTTCATTCCGAATTAATGTGTTTCTTCATTTTGATTACAGACAGTTGTTGTTAGTTGGTTTATACTATTTTACAGTAAGCACTTCTGAGAGAATAAATAAATCCTATTTGTAGACTAAAACCCAACACCAATAATGAAGACGCACTCCCTTCCTCTACAAACTTTGTCTCACTAAAAAAGAAAGACAAAAGGTGCTGGAAGAGACAAAGGCAAGGGCTTTCGTATTCCTTCTATACTGAAATGGACTTGGTAGTTTTGCTCTGTGTGCGGTCTAGCAATCTCTGATGATCCTGATAGCTTGCTTGCTATTTTTGGAATCCTGTCAGTCTCCACTGCAATTTCCATAAATTGTTTTACTCCTAACTACATTGGATTCACTCCACACTGATTTTCATGTCCTAGATTCTGGAGTCAGAACGGCATTGAACATAAGTCTCTCAATTTTCTCTAGTTTGAGGGGAAAAGCAAGCATTGGGGGACACGTCTTCCTAGGAGAAACATAAAATCAGTCATTTCCAAACTAATTTGTCTTTTGACTAGACTAAGGACAGGTTTCATTATCTAGAAAGCAGATGCAAATCTACAGAAGTTGTAACTGCTTAAAGAAAATTTGGATTTGATTGTGCAGAGGGTACAGGCCCCCAGTGGCAGCGCTGTCACTAGCTGTTCTTCAGATTCCTGTCCTGACTGTTGTGCCTGCTATTCTTGTCCCATTATGAAATGCTGCATGAATACTGTAACTTTGTCCAGCCTCTGCTTCTCAATGGACAGATTTAAATAAATTTTCTATCCAGTTCTATTGAACAATATTAAAGATACAAAATAGTCACAAAAGAGAAACTGTAACCTCTCCACTAATCCTTGTTTGAGCTCCAGGATAGACTCTTTAATAATGAGTCAGATATTGGTTAATTCTGTTTTCCATTAACTTCTGTTAATTTATTTGCCCTGTGATCAATGAAGAGCATGACATTTTCCCCTTCTGATTATTCCAAGGACATTTGTGTAATGAATTTTTGTACCTACTTAGGGAATGTAGCCTAACTCCCTTGAGGTAATAGAGGAGCCGAGCTAAAAGTCACAGGGCCAGAATTTTAAAAAATTCCTCATGCTCTCTCTTTGCTGCCAGGAGACATTATGCAAGCCACTTCCTCTTCTTCTGTATCAGTTTTCTCATCAGTATATATAGGGCTAGATGATGTTCCCTCTGAAATGCTCTGAAAACAGCACTGAGGCCTATGGAGAATGATTATTACTGTGCACCACAACTTCAGAGATAACTCTTCTTCTCAGCATACCATTTTATGTCCTTGTCCTCCTTGGGCCAGAACTGTATCTGCTATGTGGGTAAAGACAAGACAGTAGATACAAAACACACTGTGCAAAATAAATCCCCATCACAAAGCTAACTCACTTCTTGTATTACTCTTTACATATAGAGCAAACTGACTGACTTAGAAACACTGGCTTTGCTGATAGCAACTCTAAGCCATGATTTGGATCACAGGGGAGTGAACAACTCTTACATACAAAGGTAAGTAAGTCAGAGAGAAGTTAAATAAAAACAAATGAATACCAAAATCACAGAGCTAAATTAAGTACAACCTAATTGATTTGATGATGTGAGGCTGTGCAAAGGAGCAGTAAGTGCAAGAACAGCCAGAAACATTCAGGAGTCCAAAGCAAAGATGCACAGCCTCAGTTGCTGACTAACTACGACGGCAGATGAAGTGAACTCTTTGTAGACTGTGCAGGGGCAGCGTCTTCCTCCTCCTGTTCCGGATGTCCCATCCCCCATTTCCCATACAGTGACAGCAAAAGGTCCCAGCTTCTAAGGGACAGCGTGTAGGAAACGTGCAGCTTTTCAGCTTGCTCCCTGCCCAGCCAGCTGCTCCCCGTCTAGTCTGGGCCAGCACACAGCTGAGACCTGCAGCCATCTGATACAAAGGTGTCTCCCTACCATTTTGAACTCTGATTGTTTTACTCATGATTTAGCCATGTTTTTCCAGAATTCTAAGTTGATTTGGATAAGATATATATTTAAAATCACATTTTAAATGTATGTCTGTTTTGCATTGATTCTGGGTTATCTGTACTCTTCAACTTCGATCAATTCTGGAATTACAGAAACCCCTTTACAACGCAAGAAGTCAAAATACTTTCTAAAACCTTGAAATAAAATATTTTTACTAAACAAAATATTTCGCTTTGAAGTTATCAAAATGAAGCATCTGAACTCTGAAAATTCTAGAATTTTCTCCATATTTTAACTGAAAATACTTGGTTTTTTAGAATTTGTTAATAGTTTCAGATCTGCCCAGAATGTGTTTTTCAGTGAATTTAGTATTCACTTCAAATAACAGTATATAGGCAGAAAATAAGTAAGCTGAAGCAGAATTCCTGCCTTTCAGATATATGTTCAGAGTAACACTAAGGCTGATGTGTAAAGCAAAAAAAACCCCAAACCCCAAAACCCCACAAAATTGAAAGAGTAACCTTTTTCTAGTTCCCTAATAGGGGATTCCAGCAGTGACTGTAGCCTTGCAGTGATTGGAACCAGTTAGCTATTTTTTGCTTTATTTATTTAAAAATAAATTTCCTGGAAGACATCTGGAGATGCGTCATCTCCTCTCAAAAATGTCCTGGGAAAGTGTCATAGGCAGCAAAATCTAACATTTGCACATGCTGTAAAGCGGAGATGATTACAGCTTAATAATTCTTTTTCAATAGAAAGTTCAATTAATTTTGTTTTAAAATCCCTCATTTAGATCTAAATGAACAGTTATTTTTTCCAGGAACGGATCCCTTTTGTTTCTTCCTCGAAGCAGGGAGAGTGGATACTTATTCTTAAGCAACAGGGTTTCAAAAATTAAAGTGATCCTGGTAGTAGAAATTACAGGAAATGAACTGCTTAAAGTTCTTTTGGTAGATATGCAGGGTTTTTTTTTCTTTTTCTTCCAAACCCACATGTAAAATAGGCAAGCAGAGAGTATGAAAACTGCATAACCAAACCACTGTGTTCAGAAAGCAATGGTGTCCTTTAGCCTGGCACGGTGGTTTAACAGAAATGCTATGTACTACAGAAGTAGGATCTGAGTTTATTTCCAGCACTTGTGTCTTCCCAGACAGCCAGGGTCTGTAACTACTGAGCAAGCTCTAGTTTGGTGCAGTACTTGGGAAGATAACCTAAGATATTTCTCACATATTTCTCTCTTCAGTCAGGATGAACTTCAGGGGACACAGTATGCATCCCACTTAACTCAATGGGAATTTCACCCAGCATGTGTTGGCACCATCCTACAATTTGTTTCCTTACAGAAACACGCAAGCATATTTGCTCTATACTCCTTTTGCAGTGGTCTCAGAGGAGGTGCTGGGCAGCCAGCCCATAATCCTCAGGGGCTTGCATCCTTTAATCTCCCCTTCTGCGTTTTTGTTTGTCTTTCCATCTTTCTCTCCACATTTTTGTGCTTCTTAAATCCCCGGAGTCTCCTCTTAGGACTTTTATTTGAGTCTCTGTGTGCACTTACTTACATAGGGACCGAATCCTGCAACGACTAATTCATGTGAATGATCCTTAACCGTACAAAAAGTCCCATGGAACTATATGCTAAAAAGGAATTTCTTAGATGATTAAACATTTGTAGGTCAGATTATAATTGGAGTAATAGATTCAAGATCAGCAGCAAAACAGATTTCCAAAAGAAGCCCAATTTAGTTGAAGAGATGACATAAGCAACGTGGGACCAGGGGCTGAAAAGGAAGATAGAGTAGCAAAAGCTAAGAACCATATTATGCAATGAGGAACGGGGGGAAATTAGAAATCCTCAGAGAGGAGGAGTTTCTGTATTTTTCTCTAAAGCTACTCAAAGAGTAAATTCTATTTTCTAGACTAAGATAGCTTTAAATTCTGCAGCCGCACAGTTGGTGTCATGCTGTTTTTCACTGCCTGTAGTACAACCAACATCTTGTTTCTGTTTTGGATTTTACCTTGGGCAAAGGGTAGGTAACGATATTGCAGTAGTTCGGTCATGAAGAGAGTGGTGATGAATGAAGTACCAATACAGTTACTAACACTGGGAAATTACTTGATCAACATTTTGGGCCCTGCACCAGAGTCCA